TATATATATATATATATATATATATATATATATATATATATATATATATATATATATATATATATATATAATTTTTTTTTTTCATATTATTATTATTATTATTATTATATGTCTCACTGTCTTATTGGTATGTGTGTTCTGGAAGCTTCATACCAAGTCAAATTCCTTGTGTGTGTGAGCACACTTGGCAATAAAAGCTCTTTCTGATTCTGATGATCAAGATGACAGACCAGAACAAATGGCACTGAAAAAAGACAGCATGACGATGTTCAGCTCTAATCCAGTTTGTAAGAGATCTAATCCCAGGTGACGCCACCGTGATACACTCTGAGACAGAAATGGGCTGTGTGCACTTTGTAATGACAAAAATAACACACATTTTGTAAATACAGATTACATACATTTTAGTTAGGTTATGTAACTTCATTCATTCATCTTCAGTAACTACTTTATCCTGGTCAGGGTCATGGTGAATCCAGAGCCTGTCCTGGAAACAAAATAACTGCTCTGCACATTTGCAAAGTTTTGTCTGTGCATGTTTACCTTTTAGACGAGCTGCTTTTTCAATCCTGTCCAGGTAGTACATGTTCAGGTGAGGCACCAAGTCTTTAAGAAGCGAGGCTGGCAAATCTAGATCAACAACATCAACAGCAACTTAAAAAAGAGGTTTGTAGAGGCTGTAACTTCGACGACGCATTGGTGTGAGGATGCCAAAGGCAGTAGTGATGGTAATTCCGGCTCTTTTCAGTGAGTCAGATCATTTGGCTCAGCTCAGCAATAAGAGTAGTTTCTGTTGGATCACAAATGATTCTGCCATATTTTCTAAACCACATAAAGTTTGATATACTGTGATTAGAGACTGCTCTTCTTTGCCCACCTGTGGCTGAAGCTTCGTAATAAACTCTTATTCTACCTTCTAATTAACAAAGTGACATTACTTTGCACTGCGTTTTATAAAATCTATTTCGATAATCATTAAATCAGCAAGACACTATAAATGTACACTGACAAATTGAGTGAGCATCCCTGCATTAATGTTATTGTGCTTGCTGGGTCTGAGCTTCATTAGGAAGATTTCTTTCCATTTAACTTGATAATTGATCACCTCCTCTAGTACAACGACTACACAGAGTTCATCTTCAACAAGCAGCAGATCCTCACTGTCATGCTGAATAACACACACAGAGTCAAACACATCAGTTTAAAAAGTTTTTCATGGAAACATTTCTGAGAGAGACAGAGAGAGAGAGACAGACAGACAGACAGGCAGACAGATATTCAGACAGACAGACAGGTAGGCAGAGACAAACAGAGAGAGACCGACAGGCAGAGAGAGACAGAGAGGCAGACAGACAGATCTTCACTTTTTCTTCACTTGTTAATCTTATCATTTGTTCTCTGTTCAGGTTTTACCCATATAAATGCTTCGGCAATACATTGTACAATTTGTCATGCCAATAAAGCTCTTTTGAATTTGAATTTAAATTGAGACAGAGACACAGAGAGAGAGAGACAGAGAGACAGAGAGAGACAGACAGACAGCGAGAGAGAGAGAGAGAAATCCAATATGAGTCAGATCTCGAAGCCGACCTGAATGAGTAGACTCAGCATCAACAGGCAAAATGAGAGAAAGTTTCCTGCACTCTTCTTCTATCATCTGACTTCTGTCTGATGAACAGCAGATTAATGCTGCATGTGTAATCACTCAAAACTCTGCAACACGTATTAGTCATTTAACAAAAAATCTTTTTACCCAACACACACACACACACACACACACACACACACACAAAGCCATTCCTCACCCCCAGCTTGACTCTCCAGCACGTCCATATGCTGAGCCACTTTCCTGATGCACATCTGCACCAGAGTGAAGCTGCCCATGTTTGGAAACAAAACAGTTGAAACTGAAACCTATAAATCCTTCCTCCTGCTGCGGGAAAGCCTCAGAGTTTGTTTGTTTTTGTTTGTCAGGTTTTTTTTAAATCACTTTCTTAAAATAACTGATCTGATCTGACACACATGCACTGAATATGTACAAGGAGATTCTGTTTACGTGCCCATGATGTAGCTGTAAGCGAGTGCTGGCGCGTGAAGGACGCCAACGTAAACAAGTTCCGTTTCATTTTCAAAATAAAAGTCTAATACTGCATGTGTCGTGTGTAATTTTTTAAAGCTGAAAGTGCATTAGGTAAGATTAATTATTTTTTGTTTTTTTCAAGATTACTTGTTTAACGATTAGGTGGGTTCGACATTTGAATGATTCCCTCCCATGTTCACGAAACTCCGCCCCCAGGATCTTATGCA